ATATTGAGTTTGCTTTGTATATGCAGTTGGCTATTATTTATCTTTAAATAGTACCTTTTTTGTGTCACATGGCTTAATTTAAATGTGTAAAGCAGATTTCTCATTTAAATTTGAACAGAGACCCCATATTCAAAATAGCTCCTATATAATCGTTCATAACATGGCTAAAAAGTAAGTTATTAAAATAAAAAAAAATGTATTTTAATAGGAGATGATTCATGACTCCTGATCGAAATTTCAAAATAACATTAATCTTTAAAAAAAAAAAGTCAAATATCGCAAAAAAGCCATTTTTAAGTATTAAACTTCAATTATCTTGGAAATCTGACGTGCTAGAATTTTTTCGCTTGCGGCATCGTTTTCAGCATCCAAAAATCTATAAGACACGTAGTCCGATTCAAAATGATTTAAAAAAAATTTTTTGTAAACTATTGTTATTATTGTAAATTTAATTACAATAGTAATAATTTTGCAAATAACATATTTATGTGAAATTCAAGTTTTACAATAAGATATCCTTTTTTGCTATTTCCAATTTGCATTGACAAATGGTTCATTTTATTTAATCTATCATACATATTTTATCCTTAATATATTTTAAGTATTGTAACTGTGCAATATTTTTTTTTACGTCATATCTCTTCATACTTTCGGTTTTTCACGTGCAATGTGTATAATGTTTCTGTTATTGGCATAATTTTCCAGTCTCGGTTTTCTTATGTATCTTATTGACTTTATAGGAAATGAAAATTCCAACCAAACCCAACAGTCCGTGGTTCTCGCCTCGTGGCCAACCCCACATGCTCGCTCTCCACCTCCCCTTCTCTCCCTTCCACATGCCTTTCTCTCTTCTCAAGTAATCAATACTGTGAGGCGTCCTGCACGGGACAGGTACAATGCTGGTCCAGATTTTAGAACCAAAGGAGAGATAGAGTACAGCATCAAAAGGAGTAAAGAAAATCCAGTTTATTTTACTTCGGAAGAGAATAACGAGTGAATGGACCATTTTTTATAATACGTATAACTTTACTCAGCTCAATTTTTTTATCGTAGATAAATATCAATAAGTATTACATATACGTCGAAAAGTTTCTCTAATTTTTTTACGCTGTTTTATTATTCTTCACTAATTTCGATTGAAAATATTACATAATAGTTATAAATAAACTTTGAACGTATTAAAGTTTCTATGAAAAAATAGAATAAATAAAAGGGAAAAAAATATTATTGATGAAAAGGAAGAATATTTTATATCGGTATACGTAAGTATGTAGGATATGTTTAATACGATGTGTGTATTTGTATTGATGATTTGTATTGAAACATATTCTTAATTTTATATTCTTAACTTTAAGTTTTTATCAACTCTAATATATAATCTATTATTTAACTTACAATTAGAATTTATGTAGAAAGTAGTATGTATATTCATGGATATGTAATTTATAAATAAAAGGAATAGATTCCTTTTTTATATGCTAAAGAAATTAAAATATTAAAAACTTAAAATGTCATACCTTTTCCTCGTTATTAGATAGTGTATTATATGACACTTCCTTCTGTTCCTTTATCTCCATCTGTGTTTTTTGCATTCTTTGTCTAATATTGTCAACCGATATTCCTCCTGCAGCAATCATATGTTCTATCTTCTTAATCTGGCTCTCTCTTTTTTTATTAAGTTCAGATATTTTAGCTTCGATGTCTCTATTGATGAATTCTATTGTTTCATTTGCTTTGCTCTGCAATAAAAAATTTATCAATTCTTTTGCACGCGCCTATGTATGTACAGACAATTGACGATAAGATATTATCTATTCAATTTCAAACATAATATTTTGCATTTTTTAGTTAGCAAAGATGTTTTGATTTCTTTTCGGATACATATCCCTCGTAAAAAAGAACTACTAATGCAGTGATAACACTACTGAAATATAGTAGTGATACTGCCTGTATTGCAGTGACACTACTACATTTCAATAGTGTTATCACTGCATTAGAAGTTCTTTTTTGCAAGGGATAGTTTAAACATTTTTTGTATTTTAATTATAAGTTAATTAATAAATTACAATTACCTGAAAGTTATTTATTTTATCTTCAAATTTTATTGCTGATGTCTGGAGATCTCTATTTATATTGCCTAGTTCATCTTTCAAATCATTAACATGATTTGACCAGCAGTCATCACAAAATCTCTATGAGAATATTTTTTCTAACATGTAAACTTTATATACGAAACAAATGTACATATACAGGATGTTACTAAAATAAGGTAACAAACTCCAGAGGCGAGTTCTCTATATTAAAACATAAAAAAAAGTTTGTATGAACATGTTATTATAAACTCACTATTATTGACAATGAGATATAGCTCAAAATGACAGAACGCGACAGTCCATGATCCAACGTGTTCATGCATATATTTATTTAAATGGGACACACTTTGAACATTTGTGGTAATTAAAAATTGCAATTAAAAATTGAAAATATATAATATTAAATAAAAATAAATATTACTTTTTTATTTTCTATTAATGAACATTTTGAGCTACGTCTTATTGTCAGTAATAATGGGTTGCAAACATATGAACTTTTTTCACATTTTGGTGTGGCAAGCAGCAAGCTTACCTCCGAAGTTTCTTATTTTAGTTACACCCTGTGTATAATACACACATTTTAACAGGAATTGGAAGTAACTCGTTACTTATAGCCTAGTGCTCGGAAAAAGAACCGGGTAACAAGAAAATTTGAGAACCGCCCGCCCGCCCGTCATTTGTTGCACACGGGTGAGAACCGATTCCTCGG